TATATATATATATATATATATATCTTACTCAACGATTTCTATAGAATTTCGTGTGTGTTTTTTATATTAATTAAATATATATAAAAGAACACTATATTTTCAACTGCCAGAATCATTATCAAGACTACTAAGACCGCCATATAGCACCCGCTCCTCAACGGGGACTCCACCACAACTTCGGGTACCATTAAGCCGAGTACTTATAAATAGGAAGTCCCTTCCATTACCTCTAATTCTACTATTCTTATCCCACATTGTTCCCTCGTCCCCAATTACTATTTTCCGTTGACTACCTACAAAATATTTGGTCTAACATAAGGGGAAAAGTAAACGTTGAAGCAGTTGAAACCTAGTAAACATTACATGCAAGTCGAGAAAACGAAAATCTGTTGAGTTATATCTCATATCAAAAGTACCCAACCAAAAGCTACTGGAGTATAAATAGTTACCACTAGAAAAGAAAATAGTTCCTCGAGAGCGGAACAGTAATAGCTGGCGTGCATGTCAGGACTGTTCCATCAGCGGTCACCGTGTATGTCTCCGGATCGACTTTGATGTCAGGAAGTGCATCGTTGAGCTTCATGTCTAGTTTACTTATGTTTCTCACATTACTTACAGCTTCCACCTTCTTATTTAGTCCATATGAGTGTTTTATTCCAGCATCCAGAGCTGCCTGTTTATCCAATGCAGTAGACATAAGAGTAGTTAGTACACATGTTATAGAGATTCCCCTATTCGTCAGTGCATATTCGTGTAGCGGCAAAGCTTCTAGCAAAGCCACCAAAAGAACATCCTTCAAGTTTTGACGGTCCCAACGTCAACTCCTAGATTTAACTTCTACTCCCTGGCAGTATATAGTTATTTTGCACCATTAGGTTACATTACCTACAACAATAGCTGTCCATCCTTAGCAAATCTAATATGGTAACTCAGAAAATAGAGTAATAAACCTCTTGTAACGGGTTAAAATACACTCTGTGTATACAATCTTTACATTGCCAGTGTATATACAGTAAATCTCAACTCCTAAATATACGAGAAAATGGCCATACACGAGAGAGAGAGAGACATGCCTTGCTGACAAAAGCAATTGAATTAGTACTTGCAGCCTTGGAAAATGCTCCAAACATAGGCCTCATTAACACCTGTAACAACTTGTGCTTCAGTAATGAAAATGCAGATAACAGTTCTGCTTTCAACGGGATAACAAAACTGAATAAGGGTCTAAAGGGTACAGGCTAGTAGTAAAACGTAAGCAATAATTCAATATTAGCTTATGAAAGCCAAAAAGAGAATTACACTATGAAGTTATTTAAGAAACATTAGTCCAATGTTGGATCTCTTGCATGCAAGAACATAGATTCAAAAGTTGGTTAATAGCAAAAATTGCGAATAAAAGAGTCCTCCAATGTAAAACAGTTACCGGTTCAGGAGTTGGGATGCTAGCATTCGGGTCTCCCATGTTTGACCAAGCTATTACCCCTCCTTTGATCACCATTTCTGGTTTCGCCCCAAAAAACGATGGTTTCCACACCACAAGATCAGCTAATTTCCCTACCTGCAAGATATCCAATAAAATAAAACTGGAATCTATGACAATGAGAGTTGAAGTGCTCGACTTTTCAGAGGACAATGCCTTCAGCACTATGATGACAAAGGAGAGAATAACTACCTTTAAAGATTCTAATAGCTTTATAGCAATGCAAGTTTCTACAAATTTAGTTGAACTAGACATGCTTCAAGTTTTCTAACATGGTCCTCTCC